GCCCCAGCCCCCCCGCCAACCCCCACACTCTCCAGCCTGGAGCCCCCTCCTGAGCCAGCTTCCTCTTTTTTACTCCTGCACCCAAATTCCCTCCCAGAGCTTGCACATCTCACCCCTTCCCAGTGCTTTTTTTGTGAGCCACAATAGCAGTGGAGACAGTGTGAAGAGCTGGGGCAAAGTTGTTGAGCCCCTCCACCCCCCCCAAAAAAGCCATGCCCTGGGACAGATGTACCAGCACCTATTTTCGCCGAGCACTGATTTTTTATTTTATTTTTTTTGCTCCAGCTCTTCATGCTGTCTCCACTGCTATTGTGACTCTTCACCTGGAATGAGTTGGCCACCCCTGGAATAGTTGATGCATTTTTTTTCACTAACTATTCAATTAGTCTATAGGGTGGCGCTGCCCCTTTGAAACGCCACAGCTGTGTTTCAAAGCAGCAGCACCACATGGAACCTGGGGTCAGCTGGGGAGTCCCCAACTGACCCCAGGCTCCAAGTAGCACTGCTGCTTTGAAATGCTGCCATTCAAAGCAGCAGCCCTGCATGGAGCAGCTGACCCTGGGCTCCGTGCAGCACTGCCGCTTTTAAATACCCCCCTCTTCTCCCCTCGCTGCCTCTATATATGAGAGGCCGCAAAAGGGAGGAGTGACCAGTCAGTATTTGCTTATCGGATAGTTGACTAGCCCTTTACAGTAGGGATTTAAATATTGGTTAATTGAATAGTTGAGTAACCTCATGAATTCTTATCGGTTAGTCGACTATTCTATAGTCCCTGGGGCGATTAGTCGACTAGTCATTCACATCCCTAGCGCACAGCCAGGGAGGTCAGGAAGTTGGTGGGGCTGCAGAGCCCGCAGCCAGTGGAGCCAGGAAGGAGTGGGGACTGCAGAGCTCACAGCTGGTGGGGCTACAAGTGCCTGCAGAGCTGCCTCTGGAGCTCAGGAGGCTGCTGCAGCTCATGGGGCTGAGAGGCGTGCAGGGCTGCTGCAGGCAATGGGGTCAAGGCATCAATGACAGATAGTGGGGAGCCTGGCACACCCGTAACCTCAACCTTCCCTGGTCTGGAGAACTCCCATGTGTGGAGGGAGCTGGACCAGGGAGGTCCAACCTCTTATTGTGCAAATTCTTCACAACAACTGGTGGGTGAAAAAGAACAACAAAAAGCATGAAACTGAGTTCTGCCATTACAAGGAGTTTGGAATACTTCACATAAGGTGTTTGTCTTGCACAGCAGCCACTGAAAGTGAATCTTTGGTATCTTCTCTTCTGTGAGTTTGGTTTAATGAGGTACCATGACAAGAGATTTATGCGCTCTCATTCTGCATGCAAAGTGCTGACGATCATTTGTGTAAAATCTGATCAGCAGCTCTATAATATTCTTTCTTTTCCCAGTTATTTTTCCTTATGGATTTAACAGAGAAGACCAATCTGATGAGAATAATGGCAACAAACTCTCAATAAAATACAATAAAAATATGCTTAGATGTTTGCATTTCCATTGCTCATTCTCTTACATAACAGAGGACTTAACTCTTTTAAATTCATAGATTAAATGTCTTAAATATTTCATTGCCGTTTTGTTATACTTCCTCTTGCTGTAGGAATTAGTAGTTCATATAGCAAGAGATGCATAACAGAATACAGTAACTCCTCACTTAACATCCTCCATTGTTCCTATGCGGTGTTTCTGCCCCATTTACACATGCTTGTTTAAAGTTGTGCAATGCTCTCTTATAACGTCACTGCTTGTAGGCTTCTTCCGAAGACCAGTGACTTTGTAAGGGAGTATTACACAACTTGTAACCAGGCTGGGCTGGCAGCCACCCCTCCCTCCCCCTCTCCCACAGTGGCGTGGCATATACTTAAATCAGGTTCCTACTGATTGTAGGTATGGAGACGTCTATTTGGCTGCAGTCTTTATTCATATATAAATAAATAAATAAAGGATTCTGCATAGTGTCTTGGGCTAATTTAAACGTGCATGAAGGAGGCTGTCAATGTAGCAATCATATCAGGGCTGTGCCATAGTATCACAGCAGCTTCTGGAGACTTGGGGAGATGGAGATAAAAGTTAGAGAAATTAGGAATGCATGATTAGTTTTTAAAGGTAAATGTGGCTTATTAGTGAAGAGTATTGTCATTTCTTTATATATAAGCCATTTTTGGATTATCATATTGTTAGTGACACTAGGGATGTAATAGTATAGTCAATTAACCGATTAACCAATGAGCAAAAGCTTATAGGTTAATACTATAGAACAGGGCTACTCAACATGCCCGTGGGCTGCATGCGGCCCGCGACCCATTTGTTTGTGGCCCATGGTGCAGTTTGGGTTTACACTGGGCTCAACACTCAGCCCATGGGTAGGAGCCAAAACAAAAAAGTAGTCTATATAATGGTCTTCTGCTGATATGCATTTTAGTAGTTAAATTCCTGGACTGTCATTGCTCATTAAAAGTGCTGTCAGATGGGTGGAAATCAGGTAAATGTTGCATTTTAGTAATATCAGCAGAACTGACTTAAATGGGGCCTGTGTGTTGTGTAGTCTTGCCTTAATCTTTGTATTCGTGCCTGTCCGTGTGAAAGAAGCTATTTGCATATATTTGCATGTATATATTTGCATGTATATGCAACCACACTAAGTTGCGGCCCTCAGCATGTGCTGTTAGTATCATTGTGGCCCTTGGGGCTTCCAAAGTTGAGTAGCCCTGCTATAGACTACACACGTTCCCTTCCTCCTCTCCCTTCCCTAGTAAATTTTTTAGCAGGCTGGCCAGCAGCTCAGCTCAGTCCTGACTCACATCAGGACATACTCCTGCTGCAGCTCTGCATTTAAAGTATATTAGGAGTTAGGCAGGCAGTCAGCCCAGCTCAGTTCCAGCTCACACCAGATCCAGGAGCTCAGACTCCATCCCAGACAGGGGATGCTGCTTCTATACCAGACGCAGCAGCACAGGGAGACAGGCCCATGAGGGAAGCTGGTTTTTAAACTGGCTCCCCTCGCGAAACAGGTCCCACTTGACACCCCATGCTGCTCACTCTGATACAGAGGCAGCCATGCAGAGTGGCAGAAGGCTCCTTGGGAGTGGGGCTGGAGTTCACTGGCTGCCGGCCCCATCCCCAGGGCCTATAAAATAGATGGCTTGCGTTGGGTCCAGGACCTACCCCCGCTGTGGCTCTGCTTTTAAAGTGTATTAGGAGCCAGGCGGGCAGGCGGCCTGGCTCAGTTGTGGCTCACGCTGGGTCCAGGAGCTCAGACACATACACCCCAGAGAGGAGCTGCTGTCACCCCATGCTGCTGCTTCTCTATCAGAGGCAATAGTGCGGGGCAATCAGGCCCATGAGGGAAGCTGGTTTTTAAACTGGCTCCCCTCGCGAAACAGGTCCCACTTGACACCCCATGCTGCTCACTCTGATACAGAGGCAGCCATGCAGAGTGGCAGAAGGCTCCTTGGGAGTGGGGCTGGAGTTCACTGGCTGCCGGCCCCATCCCCAGGGCCTATAAAATAGATGAGTGACCGATAAGAATTCATGAGGTTAATTGACTATTCATTAACTGATGTTTAACATCCCTAATTGACACATTTGCTGTTATTGGCACCTGCTGTCTTGTCCCAGAGCCCTGCAAATCTGCAGATACCAATTTTATATCCACAGACTGTGATAGCAACTTGCATGCAGATACAAATTTTGAATCCATTTAGGGCTCTATTTGGTACCTCTGTTCTCTCCCTTTTCAATGCAAGTTAAATTATACACTTGTCAAGCATGGATATCAGTCTCTTTGTTTTTCAGTACTCTGATCTGTCTTTTATAGGCTGTTAACCGTCAGGATATGACATACTGGCTTCAGGAACTTCAACAGAAGAGATGGGAATATTGTAACAACCTTGATGTCGCAAAGAGAGAGAGCAGAACTTCACCTACACCCAGTGACTTTTCCAAAGGCCTAGTTGCCAAAGACATTACAGGTAAGTTGAGGACTTGAGATACATATATAGAACATGTTGTATTTCTGTTTAGTAAGAGTTTACCAGTATGAATACCAGTATGAATGGATAGAGAGTACGCTTATTAAGTTTGCGGATGATACCAAACTGGGTGGGGTTGCAACTTCTTTGGAGGATAGGGACATAATTCAAAATGACCTTAGCAAGTTAGAGAAATGGTCAGAGGTAAACAGGATGAGGTTTAATAAGGAGAAATGCAGAGTGCTCCACTTAGGAAGGAACAATCAGTTCCATACATACAAGATGGGAAGCGACTGTCTAGGAAGGAGCATGGCGGAAAGGGATCTAGGGGTCATAGTGGACCACAAGTTGAATATGAGTCAACAGTGTGATGCTGTTGCAAAAAAAGCAAATATGATTTTAGGTTGTATCAACAGGTGTGTTGTAAGCAAAACTCGTGAAGTCATTCTGCCGCTCTATTCTGCACTAGTTAGGCCTCAGCTGGAGTACTGTGTCCAGTTCTGGGCGCCACATTTCAAGAAAGATGTGGAGAAATTGGAAAGGGTACAGAGAAGAGTGACAAGAATGATTAAAGGTCTAGAGAAGCCTATGAAGCCAGGCTTCATGAACTGGGCTTGTTTAGTTTGGAAAAAAGAAGATTAAGGGGGGACATGATAGTGGTTTTCAAATATCTAAAAGGGTGTCACAAGGAGGAAGGTGAAAATTTGTTCCTCTTGGTTTCTGAGGACAGGACATGGAGTAATGGGCTTAAAGTGCAGCAGGGGAGGTTTAGATTGGACATTAGGAAAAAATTCCTAACTGTCAGGGTGGTCAAATATTGGAATAAATTGCCAAGGGAGGTGGTGGAATCTCCCTCTCTGGAGATATTTAAGAACAGGTTAGATAGACATCTGTCAGGGATGGTGTAGACAGAGCTTGGTCCTGCCTTGAGGGCGGGGGGCTGGACTCGATGACCTCTTGAGGTCCCTTCCAGTCCTATTATTCTATGATTCTATGGTAAAATTTCTACAATTTTCTTCCTTTTCCCCCTCCTTTAAAGTGGATTACAAATGTTCCTGTAAAGTTGGCAGAATCATGCTCTCTTAAATCAATATATTTATATTAATTTCTTGTGTTTATAAATGTGCTCTAAAACATTAATAAGTTACCTGGCTGGCCTAACTTATCTTCGGCATGGAATGTAATAGCATTTCAAAGAAACAAAATGGAATATCGTTAAGTTTGTGTCACATAGTGTGAAAGAACTCAATTTAAAAGATGCTGTCAGAATATCTTAAAATGTGTTATGTGTTTCTTGGCATTTAAGGTCCATTTCCTCAGTAGGAACAAAGAAAAAAAATTTAAGATGGAAAGAATCTAGTTAGTTTGGTCACCTACCAAAAACAGACATTTTCTTGCCCTATACCAGGGGTTGGCAACTATGGCTCACTAGGGAGCCAGATAGGGCTCTTCTGGCCTTACTCCTCCTGCAGCACGGAGCCAGCGTTGGTGCTGCAGCCTTATAGCCCCTTGCAAGACTGGAACGCCAGCATTGGCTTCCTGCGGGAGCATGGGGCAGGAGGAGAAAGCCCTGAGGCTCAGTGCCGGATCTGGCATGCAAAGAACAAACAGCCTGAACATGACACTTCTTGCAGGCATCCCCTTCTGGCCAAAATCCTCTCTGCCCCCAGGCCGCTGGCCAGACAACCACCTCTCCTCCCCTCCTCCCCCACTCTTTGCCCAGACACCTTCTGCCTCTGGCCAAGCAGACAGCCCCCAAACTGTTCCTGCCAGACCTCGCATCCTCACCCCCTCCTACACCCCACCTCCCACCAACCAGATCCTGCACTCCCATCCCTATCCCATTCACTGGTAGCCCTGTCCCGCATACTTAACACCTCATTTTTGGCCCCTCCCCAGAGCCCATGGGGACTTCCAAAATCCACTAACCCTGGAACCCCAGAAGAGTAAATCTGGCCTGAGACCTTGAACCTCGGTCTTCCCTGCCACTACCTCCACTATGGGGCTGGAGTACCCAGGGAGTGAGGTGTTTCAGTTGGGGGTCACATCAGTGATGACGTAATTATGGCTGAGGAGGCATTTTTAATAAGCCTCTATTTAGGGATGTCAGCATGTAGACAACTACACAATTAACTCATAAATCTGGGCTTATCAGTTAAATTTGTTGACTACATGTATTCTTCTCCCCCATTCCCTCCGTTGCTTTTTTATCAGTGCCAGCAAGGGGTGGGGAGGCAGAAGCTGGTGCCGATGAGGGGCTGGCTTTTAAGCTGGTTCCCCACAAATACTGGATCCGTGGAGCCATCTGATCCCCTTCGACACCTGCACTGCTGCCTCTGATAGAGAGGCAGTAGGGTGGAGGGTAATAGGGAGCAGGCAGGAGCGGGTAAATGCAGGAAGCCGGCTTTCAAGTCAGCTGTGTGTGTATATCAGCTCCCGTGGAGCGGCCTCTCTCCACAGCGGGCCCAGGCTTGCTGCGTACAGAGGCTGCTCCGTGGATGCCAGCGCATCCTCTTTATGTGGGGAGCTCGTGCCTCCATGGACAGCAGCTGCTGCCATCTTACACTGGCATGGGATGTCAGGGGTTCCCCGGGAGTGGTGCTGGGAGTGCACTGGCTGCTGGCTCTGCCCCCAGGAACTATTGAATAGTCGTGTGACAGTTAAAATTTGATGAGGTTATACAACTGTTCAATTACATGCTCAACATCCCTATTCTGTTTTCAGGTTTTTATAATTATGGTAATCTCCCTTTCCCCCAAATGTAGAAATCTCTTGTTGATTTCATGTCCAAGAAAGTGGGTGAGCTTTATGGAAAACTTAAATAAAAATGTTTTCAGTAAGTGTGTAGTTATCAAAGCACATGAGAACAGTTTCTCTATACCTTCTGGTTTTTTGGACAGCAAAAAAGAAATAATTATCTCCTTCAGGGATGTTGTGAGACTTAATTAGTTAATATTTAAAAAATTCAAAAAAGGTGCCAAGTAGGATTCTTTCATTTTTATAACAGTTGTAGAATCCTCTGGAAGAGATGGTGGGACTGATGTGTGTATTATTCATGGAGGGCCTGCTTATGCTATCTCCCTCCGTGGGATTTAGGGATGTTAGACCGTAGTCATTTATGCTTATCAGTTATCCAAACAGTTACACGTGGCTCTCAGTCCAGCTCCTGGGGAGGCAGCAGCATGGGATGGCAGCTTAAAAGCTGTCCCCCAGCGCACACAGGCTCCTGGGGAGCTGGCTGCTGTCCCGATACAATTACACGCATTTTAACATCCCTAGTGGGTTTACTCACAGCATAAGGTATTGTTCAAAGTAAGGTGGCAGAATGTGGCCCAGACCCTGTGTTTCCTGAGGTTTGATCCCACGGGAACTTTTTGCAAGACTTTTTTCAGTACAGGATATAAAATGAAAGAACCACACTCACTGTTGCCTATTCAGAATTTCACCCCGTATTTTCAGAGGAATAAAGTACCAGCTACCTTTCTAACATGTTAGACAATTCTGCAGAGTTCTTCATTTCACAGACATTTTAAAAATACCTATTTCCAGCTTTCCCTTTTAGCATTTCAGAATGAGGGGGATCTTCCTGTTTCTCTGCTATGTGACTTCAAAGCAGGATATTTAAAAGGCTGGTTATTGCTAAAATCAACAAAGGCCATATTTTCTTTTTAAACTGCCATGTGTATCTCTGAGATTTTATTACCTAATGCACAAAAATATGAATGAATGGGATCTTGGTATACTGAGGATAAAGATAAAGATGAGAGTACTTTTTTTTTTTTAATTGTTCAAATATGTCTTTAAGAACATGGCATTTTATGGGGTGGGGGAGCTTGTGCAGTGTAAGGTAACGTAATAATAATCAAATGTTTCTTTCCTTTCTCAGATTTGAGTACCCTGAATCCAAATGTCTCAGCAGAGAAAGCTAGAAATGTCCTAGCTGTGGAGACTGCTCCCACGGAACTGGTAGGAGAACAAGCAGCTTGCCAGCCGGTACCAATCCAACAAAGTGCCATCAATTTCTCCTTGAAACAATGGGGTACTGAGATCAGGTGAGTTCTTTTCTCCTCATGAGAACTATACTTGTCCCTAGCAAATGACTAGTGATACTGCAAGTTGCTCAAAACCAGTGATGATGAGGCCAGTATACAATGGAGAGAGACGATGTACAAATTAAGCAAGAAATTGGAAAAAATAGTGGCTACAATATGTCTTAAAGTGGACTGTCAGTTTATACATACTAGGAATGCTAACATAATAGAGTCGGTAGTGTTGGTAAATTTTAACGTTTGATGAAAATGAACAGTCCATAGCTTTATGGTGTGAGCACAAGACAAGGAGCCAGGATTTGTTTGTTCTCTTGGGCAAGTTAAATACTTAACCACTCTGCTTCTTATCATTTCTCTGTAAAATATGAGTAGTAATTGCTTACTTCAGTGGTGATATGGTGATTCACTAGTTTGGAGATTGAAAATGTCTCTAAATAGTCTTAGTAATTTTTTCCATTTTTTTAAAAAAAAGATATATACTGTAGATTAAGTACAAGAAGTTCAGATCAATGCTGATCAAGCTGTGGCAATCACCTAAAGTAAAACATTTTTTTAAAAGTATGGAATAAAAATAACTACAAGTTTACTTGAGTTCACTCTTAGACACTAATTATTTTCAAGAACACTCATACAGTGCCTGACTTCTGGCTCTTTCATATAATCTGTCTTGTGACTTTCCACTGCTGTGCAGAGAACACCTGATCTTTTTCCCGTGGAGCTAGAGAAGTGCATGAGGCAGTGGCTGCTGTCCTCTCAATTAGACCACATCCTTCTTGGGCTGTGATTGAATATAATTGATTTTTTTTTATCTAGTACAGTTGAATTAAATAAGGCAATTGTACCAGTCCTAGTTTGGAGGGAAGCCAAGTTGCCTCACTACAGTGAGAGCAGATCAGTTAGTTGTCTAGTAGAACCCAGCTTCAGGGCTGGCCCACCAGTTTAGGGGGCTTCAGCCTACCCTCGGGCCACAGAGTAGCCCAGCTGCCCTGGCCCTAGCCTAAAAATATGGAATAAAAATAAAAAAGATAAAGAATCTTGGGACTCGGGCCAAACTCTGGCTGAGCAGCAATTCACAGGCCCAGGCCCTTGCTTCGGGCAGGGCAACAAGCAGTTGACAGAGCCCAGGCCTGCTTTCAGGCTGGGTAGTAGTTTGGCCCCAAGCAAGGACTTGGCATATAAACAGCAGCAATATAAGGGGCTCAGGCCTGTTGTCAGGCTGAGTGGCGATTGGGTCTCCTTACTTTGATAGAGAGCTGCCAAGTGGGGATGGAAGAGGCTGAAGGCATCCCAAAGCTGAGGCATATAGGGGCTTCACTTGAGAATTTTGGGCAGGATCAGGCCAATGACCCAATCTATCAGAACATACGCAAGAAAATAATCGAGGTAAATAGGGTCTCAGTAGAGGGAAGAAGCAAGGCCTTGAGACCATATTATATAATCAAGAGGGATCTCCTATACCGAGTCATCCCAGGCCAGGAACCAATAGTGGAACAACTCTTCGTGCCCCAGAAACACCGGAGAGACATGATGGACCTGGCCCAGAGCCATTTGTTCGGCGGACAGCTAGGGATTGATAAACCCCGGATCGGATTTTGAGAAGATTCTAGTGGCCTGGGGTGTACTTGGAAGTCCAGAAATATTGCGCCTCCTGACCCGAGTGCCAATTGCATGGACCCCGGATGCACCTGAGTGCCCCCCTGGTGCCTCTGCCTATTATTGAGGTCCCCTTTGAGTGTATGGCGATGGACCTAGTTGGCCCACTGGAGAAGTCCTCTCGGGGGCACTGGAGCATCTTAGTGGTCCTAGATTATGCCACCCGTTACCCGGAGGTGGTGCCCCCTCCAAAATCTACACTTGAAAACCATAGCAAGGGAATTGGTCCAGATCTTTGAGAGTAGGGATACCCATGGAGATCTTAACAGACCAGGGTATTCCTTTGTCTCTAAGTTAATGAAGGACCGGTGCGCTAGTCCACATCCGGACCCTGAGGACGTCAGTCTACCACCCACAGACAGACAGCCTTGTTGCGCGGTTCAACCACACTCTCAAGGACATGATCCGGAAGACGGTGAGCTGGGATGGGAAAGATTGGGATGTCCTACTCCCATACCTCATGTTTGCCATCTATGAGGTTCCTCAGGCATCCACTGGGTTTTCTCCATTTGAATTATTGTACGGGCACAAGCTCCGAGGGATCCTGGACCTTGCCAAAGAGGCTTGGGAGGAGCAGCCAAACCATGGACTCAGTATTATTGAGCATGTCTTCCAAATAAGGACAGGAGTACCTGGAAAAGGCCCAGGAGACCCAACAGAGCTATTACAACTGTCGAGCGAGCGACAGTCCGGAGGTTCCAGGTGGGAGATCGAGTAATGGTACTAGTCCCAGTGGCAGAGAGCAAGCTCCTTGCCAGGTGGCAGGGGCCCTATGAATTGATCAAGGTCCTAGGAGAAGTAGGTGTGACAAGGTGTGACAACCGGGTCGCCGGAAGACGGAACAAATCTACCACATCAACTTGTTGAAACTCTGGCGGGACCTGGAAGTACAGCTGGCTGCCCTGGGAACAGTGACCGCAGAGGAAACCCCACAGAAGCAGATGGGGATCTCCCCAGAGTTAACCCCGGACAAACAGGAGGAAGTTCTAAATCTGCTCAAGCAACATTCAGATGTGTTCTTAACACAGCCTGGCAGGACCACTGCAGTTGAACATTATATCATCACAGACCCAGGCGTACGAGTCAATGTAAGGCTCTACTGGATCCCAGAGGCAAAGCAGGAGGAGGTTAAAAAGGAAGTAAAGATGTCACTGGAACTGGGTATCCGAAGAATTTCACAGCCAATGGTTCAGCCCAATCGTCCTGGTACCTAAGCCTGATGTCAGCCTCCGATTTTGTAATTATTTTAGGAATTTGAACAAGGTGTCCAAGTTCGACGCCTACCCCATGCCACAGATAGATGAGCTGATTGATAGACTGGGAAAGGTTCGATTTCTGTCTACCCGTGACCTAACCAAGGGATTCTGGCAGATCCCCTTGGCCAAGAAAGCCAGGGAGAAGAGGCCTTTTCCACACCTGAGGGACTCTATCAATATACCGTCCTCCCAGTCAGGTTACCTGGGGCCCCCATGATATTCCAAAGGCCTATGGATAAGCTACTACAGCCACATTGTGTATACACAGCAGCATATCATGATGATGTCATCATCCATAGCCCAGCCTGGGGCACACACCTGGAGAAGGTGGAGGCCGTATTAAACACCTTAAGGGGAGCAGGCCTCAATGCAAACCCTGCAAGTGTGCAGAAGCCATATATCTGGGGGATATTGTGGGGAGGAGTGTAGTGAAGCCCCAGCTGAATAAGGTAGCAGCAATACAGAACTGGCCCCGGACAGCAGGTCTGGATGTTCCTTGGACTAGTGGGGTACTATCGGAGATTTAGCCCCCACTTTGCCTCCAGAGCGTGTCCCCGACAGACCTTACAAAAGCCCACTGCCCAAAGGTTGTGAAATGGACACCTGCGGCAGAAAAGGCATTCATCAACCTGAAAACGGCCTTGTGTGGTGACGCGGTACTTATAGCCCCTGACTTCGAGAAGGAGTTCTTACTTCAGACGGAAGCCTCTGAAGTTGGACTGGGTGCCACGCTGTCCCAAATGGTCAGAGAGGAAGAGCATTCCATGCTATACCTGAGCCGGAAGCTCCTCCCAAGGGAAGGAAACTACACCACCCTTGAAAAAGAGTGCCTCGCGGTGAACTGGGCCATGGAGAGTCTGCCATATTACCTGCTCGGACAAAAATTCACCCTTGTTACAGACCACACGCCCCTACAATGGATGCACCGGAACAAAAACAAAAATGCCAGAGGAACACGGTGGTTTCTGTCTCTTCAACCGTTCCACTTTCGAGTGCAACACAGGGCCGGAGACAAGCACGGTAATGCAGATGGCCTGTCAAGGATGCTCTCCCTGCCGTCCCAAGTAGCCCAACCCCATAGTGTTGAGCAGGGGAGGAGGATGTGTGACAGAGTCAGGCTGGAGGACCACTGCAGATAGAGAGAAAGGCAGCTCTAAGGCAGCAACAGCCCTGGTCAACAAGGAGCAAAGGAGATAGGGTTGCTGTAAATCAGTCAGCGCCAGCTGACCTCACCATGGCAACCTCAGGAGCCTTTTAAAAGGAAGCCCTCCTTGCAGGGAGGAGAAGAGGGAGAGTGAGAGAGGACATGGAGTGAGAGGAGACAGAGCAGACTAAGAAAGATAAGAGCAACATTGCCAGAAATAGCAAAGTGGGGGTGAGGAGCCCCAAACAGGGGTTTTTAGGCCCTCCTTCTCCTGGCAGCCTGAGAGCTCAGCTGGGCGCTGGAAAGGACTATTTTTGCAGCCCAGGCTGACCCTGGGACACTAGCCCCAATGCCTTTGAGACCAAAGTTTGAACCCTGCCAAGGGCTAATAGCAAAGGACTGACACTGCCCAAAAAAGGACTGAGCAGGGTACTGGGACCCAGGAGTGGGGTTACCGTGCCACAGGGCTGCTCCTCGTTTTTAAAGTTACAGACCAACTAACGTAGCTTCCCCTCTGAGGCTTTTTACCTGTAGAAAGTTTGATTTAAGTGATTTGCTTAGCATCACACAGGATCTCCTTGGCACAGGCAGTGGTTGAACTCAGCTTTGAGTATGAAACCTCCTTCTTCCTGCAGCTTCTTGCCTCATGATACACCTTCCAACTTCAGATTTCTCTGCCTATCAGATTTCATGGAAAGGTTTTTGTAGTGAGGTAGTTTGGCCTCCCTCTGCCCCAGAAGAGGAAGATCTCCCTAAGATACCCTGGTGTGTGGGACCAGAGCAACCCAGCCCCACCCCCAGGAAACCGAGGGGGGGGTCCAGAAGTACAAAGGCTGGAGCTAGGATCTCAGTTGGTGGCCAGCAATGGAGGAAGCCGAATGCCTTGCCCGATCCTGAGCGGTTTATCAGGCTGCAGGGTCCCTTCAAATCCCTGAGATTGAACTGCATAG